AGATGGACATACAAGTACATACTTACGTTTTGCCAACACTACTGGATTCGGCAGGCTACCAAAAGGTCCGGCCCATGCAGCAAGGTTTTGTCACGTTGCACCGTTTCACACGTACCCACAAATGATAATACTTTTTGATCACCAATGCACAGCGCTCACCAAGAGTATACCATTCTCTTCCAAGGTGGCCGGCTACCCAGGTTACATTAATTGTCTAATGTACCATGGTGTTTGACCGTCTGGTGCTACCGCTGTGATGATTTCGCTGTGATGATTTCTTTATAGTGGTGCAGAGCATGGAATATCGGATGTGGAGATCCACATTAAACACTTAGGAGCAGTGCTAAACTGTATGCGCTCATTTAAGCAATTCGTCAATAGTGACAAATGTGTCTTTAGTGCCAATTAAGTTCTGGGCCTATATTCAAAACCCTGAGGTTATCCTAATTAAATAGTAAAACCTGATTTATATACATAACTACTGGCAGTCCTACCACATAGTGACTTCTTGTTATGATGTAGCCGTACCATTGTTCGATTACATTACTAACTTGTGCAATCCACACCGTTGTACGGTCACCTCCATCTCTGACCCGCTCTTTCATACAAAGGTACGTGTAAACCCGGTACAGTCCCCCTCATCAAAATTGTGATTCCCACAATTCACATTTACCTGTCGCCTCATACGAGGCTCGCATGTCTGAGGCAACGGTACGTCCTTCAGAACATCTTTGAACATTCTCTGTTCAATTTGCCCTGTGTCTATGACATAAATATCACCCAGCCTCGCTGGTTCTGAGGGTGTTCGCGGACAAAGCCCTTCTTCTTCTGCACGGGGTGCATCTCCGGACAGTACATCCGCGGCTTCACGAAAAGCACATCCCGATCCCTTGGCAACCAAGCGTAACACATCACACACACCCCGGGCGATGGATTTTCTCGTCGAGGATTCGAAGGAAGTCGACTACGAGCCGAATACTCCTTTCCCCGCATGTGAAGTCGAGGAAAGCGACGTGGCGACGTGAGCTCAGCTCAAACCTTGCGAACACCGTGTCCGTTCCCCAACCTCTCGACTACCGGTAAAAGTGGTATTATTACCTATCGTCTCGACGAGGAGCAAGAGCAGCGGTTGGAGGCTGTCCATAGGGTGCCTCTTATGCACTCGTATACACGTTCGGTCCCAGACTCTCGTGTGGAATACGGCTTCCGCTCGGCGGATCCCGCTACTGATGTAGAAGACGCGATCACTTGGACGTATGCGTCTACGTAGTCGGGCCCCCAGCCACTACACCAGCTGAACTCGACCAGCGAAAAGCTGTGCGAGCTCGCCTTTTGGTACCTCAAGAAATCCCAATGGATACGTACCGCAATCGATTTCGAACTCAAAAAGAAGGAGCCCCTAGACCGGCAATGCGGACTATTCCTGTGGTGCTCGCCCCTGAAGATACCGCTGCAGATGATGATGAGATCTTTGGACGACGGGTGCATCGGCAAGAAAAACGTTCCCTCGCTGTCTTACAGCGAAGCCACTATAAAGTGGACGTGCGCGTAGAGCGCCATCTTCAATTTAACATTGCCAAACTCAAGGCGCAACGCCGCTTTCCTGCGTATTGTTGCCCTGCGACACATGGAATCATCCATCATGCTTCCGCGAGCTCTGTAGTTTCTCACACGGGTGAGTCTGTGACCACAGCAACTAAGGGTCATAGTTCGAGCTCAGCTCATGGTCTTTCAGCTTCCCGGGATACCGTCGAGAAGCGCTAGGCGCACGACGATGCGGAGCGTCATGATCCTTCTGATCATAACCGTCCACAGACGTCGAAGCAATCTTGCCGAAGTAGCACCGCAAATTCCCGCGAATTCTCGGAGTTTGGGTATCCCCACAACATCGTAAGATATTGATTTAACCCATTTGACGACGTCGACACACAAGGCGCTCCACGTGCTAGTGGACTCCACCATTATCATCGAGAAGAGTCGGCGGCGGGTGATGACAACTTGGTCGGTCGCCGTCCGGTGACTCGCGATACTCTTCAAGCGTTGGAGGACAAAAACCGTCGTCATCGGTATTCTGCCGAACATCTCTGCGAGGCCGCCTACCGTTGTGCGGAAGACCTCGAGAGCTTAGAGCACTTTATTGAAACGACTGCCTCACGTTGAGGAGTATCGTGCTCTGTCCGAGCGGCTTCTAGTCGTCGAGCAGACGAAAGGTCACTTCCTGCGATGGTGGAGCGCCTTGCGCCGTTGGAAATGGAGATTGGTGCACTCCGTGCTCAGAAGTAGTTGCTGGTCCAACCTCAGGGTGGCCGAGCGCCTTCGGGCGCCGTCCCG